TCTATTTCCCCTTGTTGGTTTTAAAGGGAATCTATCACTAGTGGACATATATTTTTTTTCAGCAAATGGAGGTATATGAATCCTTCAGCATATGAACCTCTCAAGGCATGTACGAAAGCTCTCGGGTGTGCAGCTGCCAGGAGCTCACGAAGCGCCAGACCTTCGACCAGCTGGTGCTGAGGTCCTTGGACGCCGAGTTCTCCAAGCGATCCCAGGCGCGCTCCCGGCGCGGGCTGAAGTCGTGGTGCTTCGGGGTCCAGCACCGGTTTAAAATGGTGGACTCCGTTTGGGGTCTTCAATACTCTGGAACAGAGTGAACACATATATATATATATTTAACATACATATATATATATACATATATATATATATATAACACATATATGTGTGTATATATATATAGGCATGCATGTATATAAACATATTTGTCTGGTTACCCCATGTGGGCCAGGCAATTGAGATGAAGCTCCTGAAGGGTAAACAATGGTGTTTAGATTAACCCGGCCGTTGTTGTAACAGGTGGAATTCCAGGGTGTTGTCTATTTGGATTTCTAGTAGTTAACTTGTTGGGGACATGCAGTTAAAGGTTTTGCACAGGAACCAATCGCCACCGAGACGTGTGAACAATGCCAGAACACATGTTTGGTGTTTTGTGGTTCTGGTTCCAAATTGCAAAGTAATTTTCCGCAATCATCCGCAATTTTAAAACCTGTGCCAGTTTGCATGACCCTTTCAAAATGGGGTCACTCAAAAGAAAGGGGTCATGACTCACAACCGAGCCCATTTTTAACGGTTCATGGAGACTGGTCTGTCAATAGAAAGGGGTAACAACGGTCCTGACAGGTGGGTTTTGTCTCTGGCTGCGTCCTAAACATGGGGCCGTGACCCCCTGTATTTGGGGTGTCATTACCCCATCAGGGTCACGGAGACTCCAGGTCTCGTTGTTTTGTTCTGTGAGGCGGGTCCCCCATTTTTGGGGAAAAAACGGTCCTGACTGCAGATGGTTGTTTCTTTGTCTCTGGCTGCGTCTCGTTTTTGTTTCTTCCCGTGAGGCGCTGCAGAGTAAGCTGGAGGAGAACCAGCAGAGCCTGGAGCAGCAGGACCAGGCCATGGAGGAGAAGCGCCAGGCGAATTTTTCGGCTGAAGTCGCTGGGTCGATTGGTGTCCTTTAAGGGAATACGGAGTAGCAAGGTGGGCGCATAAACAATCCAACTGGTGGTTTCCTTTAAGGGAATCCTCAGGTTCATTCCCTCATTCCCTGCTAGGAAAACAAACACATCATGCGAAAACCTAAGAATACGGAGTACCAGCAAGTTAAGGTTGGGCTGAGCCTCAAATTGTTTAGAAAGGATGCCTCATCGCAAATATGGGTAGAAGCCAAGACAATATGTATTTGTTCATGTTTCCTTTGGTTTCCTTTCAAGCAATTTGCGACTTGTGACGATTTCTTTGTGACACTTGATGATGTCGAATGGGAGCCACCTTCTTGCGACCTTCCTCAGCGGGCAAGGCATGAAACGTCACGCGAGAGATAACGTGTGCATTCAAGAAAGTCAAGTAGCAACGTTCGGTCCATTGCTCTGGTTCTTCGCTTCCGATCGCCATGAAAGTCCCATCATGTCTTTGGTTTTGTGGTTCCTCTGGTACCATGGAAACTGGAAGCGCAGGTATGGACAAGGGGGGGGGGGTTTGGGTCGGTTTCTGTGATACCCAAGGAATCGCCTCGGGTGATAAAGTTCTCCTGCTGCTGGCCAAATTCCTGCTCCAGTTGGGTGGTTTGTCCCACTATTGAAATTGAAATCGATCGGCACGGATTTTGTCCATCCACGGTCCGGCCCGGTTGCGTATCACCACATTCGGGCGACGTTCGGCCACCATGGCCCCGTTTTCGGAATTCGAGGCGCTGGCTGCGGCCAAGGAGGCTGTGAAGCACACGGCGCGGATGATTGTCGTCTAGCTGCAACCGGAGGGGTGCCATTTCTTTGTTCCTTCTTGGAGGTTCTTCCTTTTTTGGAGGAGGCGGGGCACTTTTAGTATCAACGACCAAAAATAATCCTTCCCCAGATACTTGGAACGTTGCTTCCTTCTTTTTTTGCAGGGGTGTGGGATTAAAATCACCCAAAGGTTTCCAGTTAGCAGTCCACTGGTTTGGGGGTCCTTGTTCCAACCTTTGTTTGAAAAACGGATTCCTTTTTAGAGAACATGTCGGTCTTTTTGGTGGTTGCTTCTTGGTGCTGCCTTGTCAACGAAAAGGCAGCCGAGAACCGGCCCCGTGTTGCTGGCCATTTTCATTTGCAGGAGAATTCCTTGGTAAAAAAGAGAACAACAAACGGTATCCTTGATTTTGCAAACCAAGACATACAAATTTCTGGAGGTCAGAGTTTCCCTTTAACATCAGCATACCATGAGTTTCCCTTTAACATCCATATCGTTTTCTGGAGGCCAGGGTTTCCCTTTAACATCAACAAACCGTGTATGCCTTTTTTTCTGCATCTCTGAGGTAGAGGCGGAGACGCAAGCGGAGTCCAGCGACCTGGCCAAATGTGTTCGGAGCTTTTGGCCAGTGGCTTCAACACACGTGTTATTCGCAAGATTAGGAATCGGTCCAGATGTGTTATATATATAATATATTATTAAGCGCCTTTTTGGCTTTACACTATATACCAACGAAAATGTGTCCATTTGTTAGATTCTCAACCTTTTTGATCTTTGTCTGATGGAGTCATGGCTTCAACACCTGTTGTTTAAACACACTGCTTAAAGGGTTCCCCTTCCAAGATGAACGCGGTATGGTTGTTTTAATGATCAACTTTCAAACTGGAAATTGGGTTGCTTAAGCAACAGTCTGGGAACATGAGGTACCGGGCGGTCAGTCTGCTATGCATCTCTTGAATATTGTAGGTGGCACACCCACAAACTACTTTGGTCGGTCTACATGGGTTCAATAATTGTTTTGCCAAGCGTTTCGGCTTTCTTCTACGAATGCCACAATGTGAGCAAAGATCCAGCATTTCATCTACTGTTGTGAATATGACCCGAGACCTAGTAGCCTTAGGACATTCGGACATTCCGGATGCTCTGTCTGATTCATTTGTGCACTTTAGAAGGAACTCTGACTGCATAGTGAAGAGTCACATAATTTTGGGTCGAGCCCTTCTATGAGACCCGTCATTGAACATACACATTGCCATTGTTCTTTCAAACATGCTTTAGCAGCTTGTACTTGTGCCAAACAGGTGCGATGTGCATTGCCACCCTGTCCAGCCATAGAAATATTCTCTCGTGGAATAGAACATCGAGCCCGCAGGCTCTTTAATCACACCCATCTTTCCACATGGCCCGCGCAGTGCTCGTTGATGGCAGTCGAGCACTGCGTGCCCGTTTTTTGTCGACTGGAGGCAAGCGATCGGTGCAGCTGGTGGCGAAGAAGGCGAAGAGCGTGCCGCAGATGGTGAAGCAGCAGGCCCGGAAGTTCGAGGCAGTGCCCTGGCAAAAGACTTCTCATAGGGAGGAGGTGGGAGGCAGGTGGGGGTCAAGTGAGAGTGAGGTGGGAGTCTTGGATTGAGGTGGGAGGTGGTGGGAGTCTTGGAGTGAGGGTGCCAGAACGGTGTGAGATGGGTTCATGCCGTTCTATATAGCTGGCAAAACCAGTTGCTTGAATGGCAGGAGCAAATTGTAGCTGAGGTTCGGTCCAAGTACCAAAAGTTTCGCGCGGGCCCTCTTGCGACCTATCTGACCTACCGGCCCGTAAAGAACGTGGAGGATGAGGATGAAGAGGAGGCCACGCAAACGGCATGAGCCAGAGGTTGCTGCTGAGTGTGAGCTGCTTTTATCGTAGCCCGGTGAGTTTTCTTGTACAGAACTCCCCTTGTGCAAGCAGAAATTCGGGGCAGAGCTTGTGGGAAGCTGCAACCTTTGCCCCTTGCAGCACAGAGGTGTGGCGGGCCAAAAACACGCGGCACGCGCGACGCGTGAGCTGCCTTGCAGCTCGGTCTCTGCCGAGGATTTGCTGCGAGAACCGATCTCACACTCTTGGACCATACCCACAAAGGCAGGCGAGATGAGGGTTTCATTTTGGACACGTAACTGTAAGCCAGAATGTCAACGACATGCTTAAAACAAAAAAGATACCCTCAAAAAAGACTCCCCCCCCAACTTTTACGCTCTTACTGCGCGGTCTCAATCAAAGAAGACGTGAGACCTATAGTCCAAATGACCATTGGTACATATATATATATACATAACTTGTCCAATTTTTTGGAAAATAAAGAGCGTATTTTTGGTGGTTTTCCCAAATTCTCATCCCCTGTACAGGACCTGTTGATCCACCCCCCGCATGTATCTCGCTCCTGTAACGGCCAGTTGCCACCTTGCGATCCGAGGTGGCAAGAACGCCCTGAGCCGCCAACCGCGCATAGCCAGCATTGCTTGGGGTGTCCGCAGCTGAAGCGGACGCCAAAGTTTTATATTTCGGGGTGTGGCCTTTGGTTGGTTCTTGATTGAAACCCAAGGGAAGCCAACAGGTTTTGGAGGTCCTCTCATCTTGAAACCAGTTCACCTTTGACCCATTAATGAAGACAAGCCCAGAACAATAACATCATCCATGCTGTTTGGACTCGCATGCGTTAGGAGCTAGGACTGGTTTGTTTTCACCTGGCATGTGTGCCATCTACTTTCACCAGACGTTAAAGACTTGAGTTACTCCCCTATAAATTAACATGTAACCCAAACAGGGATCCCCCAAAGTAATTTCCTCTACAAATGATGGTTGATTTGAGTGCCATGTCAATCATCTCTACATGCCCGCTACTTTGTTTCTGCTCGAGAGTCGCCAGATCGTTTGGGCAACCAATCTCAACCAATCTCCAATGGGTGGTACGGGTGGGTTGTTTTTTTGGTTTTCCTTTAAGCTAGGCACAAAGGGTACACTTCGCCTCGGGGCCCTGTGCCCAACCATTTGGATCGCTGGCCCGTGAGAACTGAATTGCCCGCGGCTTGCGCGACGCTTCTATCTTCTTGCATGTTCAACCAACTTCAGTATGCTTATAACTGTGGTTGTAACTGGGGAGACTGGGGTGGGTCACCTTGTGACCATGGTTGTCCTACTAGGTAACCTACTTGCTAAATTGGGCGAACTTTTCCCTGCTGCCTTCCCTCGCGCTAACTTGTCAATGGGTGAGCACACATGATGAAGAGCAAGCCCATTCCCCACATCCATCTGTCTCTCATTGCCTTGTTTATTTTCTTTTCGTTTCCTGTTTCCTTGGAACATGTTTGGTGTGCTCCCTTCACTTGGAATGCCGGAAACTTGATCGGCTTTTGCACCCGATATGCAGTGACTATCCCTGGACGTTCCTGCGGCATCGCAGTCACCTCGATCTCTATGAGACAACCACGAGCCAGGGCAAATTGCAGCTTGTTTGCTTCGGTTCAAGCAATGCTTTAAAAAGCCATATGGACGTTTCTTGCGTGAAGTTAGTCTCATGGGCGGTTACATGAGATGCGTCCCAAGACTTTGGCGGCGACTCGCATGCTTTTTGGTTCCAAAGCCGTTTGGAGTTGTCCGCATCTCATCTGAAACCTGTGCACCCAAAGGTTTGAGGCCGGTGATGAGCGGATTTGGATACATGGAGTGCATGATCCCTTGTGTCGCCAGGTTAGACAACATCCTGAACCTTACTCATTCTCAACCGCGGCCAATTTTCTGCGTGCGCCCGTCTCCTAATTCCTTCGGCAAGACGTCCAGTGGTTTTAGACCCAACTCGCCGCTCCGCAGCCATTTTTCCCCAGCTGCGCCGTTTTGGAAGACTCGAGTCTTCTGGCGCAGGCGCTGCAGGCGCGCGTGCAAGCCAGGGTGATTTCAAGAACCAGACGCATCCAAAAGGACACCGAAAGATGCTTCTTAGAACGATAGCAAAATGTGTGCATGTGTCAAAAGAGAGGGTCCCCGCAACAAAAAAAGAAGAAGGCAAATAGCAAATTGAATAAATCACAGATCAAGCGTTGGTGTTGTTTCCTTTAAGCCAAGATGAATAGGTATCCTGTAAACAAAACACATACTCCACGTGTAAAATGGCCCACCCCATGCGGGCATTTGATGCCAGAGAGCTTTTGGGCTGTGTGTCCAAAAAGCTGCGTGAATCTGGGTGCCGGTATGGATCCCAACCCAGCGCTCGTGTTCCACAGCTTTTTTGGGTTGGCTTCACCACTTAAGTTGTTAAAAAGGGTACCATGTTTTTCAGGGTCACTGTGCTGAACACACGCTCATTCAGTTGCGTCCGCTTTTCTGTCGCTGGACCCTTTGGGAGCAGATTTGCGTTGGCTAGGCTGAGAAGCGCCCCATGGAGAATCTACCCACAGCGAAGCCAAAAGAGGATGGGATTTGTTTGTTGTGGTTTTTCAGTCATCTCCCGTGTTAGTCTTATTAGTTTTGTGTTTTTTACAGTCAGCCCGAAATCCCCGATTTAACGTCCAGCGTTGAATGACCCCTTTGGCCCCTTTCATGGCAGCTTGGGATCCGTGAGCCGGTCTCAGGTGATAGCTTCTATCCGCAGAATAAGCAATTCAGTGACAAGAAGGGGTGAACTTCTGAACATAAAAGATCTATGCGCAGGAGAGCAAACAAAATCCGTAGGGTTTGGGGAAGATTGGCTGGACCGTAGTTGTGTGTACGTGTGTGTTGTTCCCCAACAGCTGACAGCTTTGGGGTCTCAGCCCAGATAGGCTCCGGGGTGGTCCGGGGCGGCCCTGAGGTAAGGTTCCACGAGGGTTCCACCAGGGTTCCACCAGGTTCCACGAGGGTTCCACGAGGGTTCCACGAGGTTCTGCGAGGGCTGCGGGGTGCCGCATGCTGTTGGGGATATCACCTGAGCTTATTTTCTTAAGAGTTGTGAGCTTTATATGTTGATTGTTGCTGTGGCGTAGAGGGAAACAAAGAGGAGACTCGCCTTTGGGTCCACAAAGGGGGGCTGCCTCATATATGGATTCCAAAAGCGGAAATGACATTTGCTGGATGCGCCCGGGATAGACCTACCTGTTCTGAAAGGAAACCATGAAAAAAGAACCATTCGGGGGTGTGGTTGTTGAGAGTGCCCTTTGACGGGTACCCTTTTTTAAGGGAAACCAACAGGACACTGGAAGACACAATGTTTAGACCTAGAATAAGGTTAGGGGTTAGGTTATTCAACCTCGACCTTTTGACTGTTCAGTCCTGGGTTTTTGTATTTGTGCATTTGTTGTCGTGGCACCGAATTCGGAATTCCAGCGCTGGCCTGTGCTCGGCCAGGTGGGCAGCCATGGGGCGTACTGGGCTTAGTAGAGGTGGAACCGGGGGCCATGGGAAACTGGTGACGCAAGCCGAATCGTCTGGCTAGAAGGTATCCTGCCAAACGCTCACGCGTGTTTTTCTTTGTGGTCTGGCAAGGGCTTCCCTGATCCAAGACTTTTGCATTTTCCTGGACTTGATTTGGGGAGAGCTAGCGGCAAGCAAAGAGGTTCCACCAGCTTAAGGCCCATCCATCCGTTCGAAACACGCCGAACCGACAACTCGAGCCACCAATCGGCGCAGGGTCCCTGCGGATTTTTCACCTTTCAGCGAATCTCCGGAAACGTCGTCCAACTTCCCAATTATTCCTTGTTGGGTGGCTCGTCTTTTGTTAGGGGCACTCCCAAAATGGCGTTTATCGTTTCGGTGTCCCTTTCAAACCACCAAAGAAGGTACCCGCAAGAAAAGAAGGATTCATTTATGTCATCACCACAAATGAGTGAGTTGATCTTCTGACCTTCGGCTTCTCGTTCCGCTCCAAGGTCCATGGAGCACCACCCTGCTAGCTGCGGCCAGCGCCTCAGGAAGTTGAAGGTCCCTATGATCCGAACAGAGCGATTCTCGGTTTCTCTAGTTTTGTTGGTGGTTTGGAGTCTGGAGGTAGTGATTCTCTAGTCTGTTAGTGGTTTGGAGGTGTTGCGGGGGCTTTTTCTCATATACCCTCTACCATGTTACAAGAACCAGGGGTTTAAACCCTGGACCCCGACCACCAATCCAGACTGGCGACCAAGGATTACCCGAGATTCAGACACATGATCATGACTCGTACTTTTGTAAATTTTCAATGAGAGTTCATTGCAAGCTGTTCAAGACTATTCCTGGGCGCCAAAAGGGCGGTTTCTTAATTGCTTCATGAATTGGAGGATAGCTGACGGCTCTGGATCAGAGTTTTGAAACCGAGCGAGGAATCGTGTAGCCCATGCTATGAGCCGTCGGCTTGGGCTGGCTCCGAAACTCACCATGACCAAACCGCATGGGTGTTGATTAGGTCCCCCAGTGCCCTCCTTTTCACCCCTTTTTTGGTTGGGAGGGTTCCCCTACTAAGATAGACTACAGCAAAAAAAAGAGAAAAACAACGGGCCAGCTTCTTTTCGGTGCCCTTGAATCATTTTTTGGGTGCTATGATTTCAAAATAAGGGCACTTAGTCCTAAATCAAAGAGGCCACTTAAGCCATTTAAAGGGCACTTAGACCCTCAGGGTTGCCCTCCCCAGCAGATCCCTCCTCAGTCCGAGCAAATCGAGCCGCAGCGACACGTGAATGCAAATGACACTCACACAGGGGCGGGACCGACGCGAGCCGCAGCGACACGCGAATGACACTCACGCAGGGGGGACCGACACTAGCGTAAGTGACCTTTTCAAGGGGTAAGTGACCTCGATTCGCACCCCCAATGACACTCAAATGACACGCTTTGACACTCAAAACGCCATGTTCGGGCTTTCCGGGTCGGCCGTTGTGACACTTCGGCGCGGGTAGCTCTTCGATTTCGACAGAATCCCAACCCCTAACAAGCCAAAAAGGGCACTTAGCAAACGAATCAAAGGGGCACTTAGGCCACCGACACTGCCTTAAGTGCCCTCGATTCAAAAACAGGCCAAGTGCCCTCCATTGGAGGGCACTACAAATATGCTGGGGTACCAACTTATTCTAACTCCTCTCTGCTGCAAGACCTAGTTGAGTTTTTTGGCTTCCCTTTGGGGCACTTCTCCTTGTGACGATCTGTCGGATCCCTGTCGCAGATCCTCTTGCCATCGTGCCTAGGCACTCTTGGCAACATGCCAGGCCTGCGCCATGTGTGGCCGCGTTGTGGGTTTGTCTCAAAGATGTGGAACCCGTAACATTACTGGCTTGCTTTGGGTTTCTCTTGAAAGCCACTCCAAAAACGGTATCCTCAAAGGACACACCCTTTTCTTGGGCTGCTTTGGAAACTAAATTGGTGATTGGCCCCATGTGGGGAAGCTACAGAGCGACCCCACCGGGCCGTCTGCCGAGTTATGTTCTGCATTATATATTTTACGCAGGATAGATTTTGACCCGCAGAGTGCGGGGGTTAAAGGGAAACCAAAAGGAAAACAACCATGTTGTGGGTCTCAAAAGAAACCCACACCCATTTGGATCTTCCCCTAGAAAGAGTGGTTTGGCCAAGAGAGCTTCGAGAAGCTCTTGGCAAAAGACGCCCCCGCAATGGTCCTGTGTCTTTGTATGGCCAGAAGGGGCTGAATAAGTACACCACTCATTTTCTTCTCAAATGCTGACTTAGTTTTGTCTGACAATTATTTTGGCCCTAGGCGTTGCTTGGAAATATCCAAGCCACCAATTGGGGGTAAGCTGATGGACAAGCGGCAATTTGGGGCACCAAGGCTCACGATTCGTCGAGCTCCGAGCACCGCCGCAGCTTTGTTGGCAGAGGGCCACAAACAACCACAACCAGCTCAATCAGAAATGATGACAATCTATGGAATCCATTGTGCAGTGGAACCCATGGAATTTTCTTAAACACCGATCGGGTTGTTTGGAAGGGAAAACAAAGGAGGACGGACCGCCCTCTTGGTGGGTTCGCCCATCAACGCGGCCTATGATGAATTTGGGTCCAAAATCAGGGCTCCCTCGTTATGTTCCTGGCAGTTTCACTTTCAATCCACCAGCAGGGGGTACCCCCAGAAGACACGGCCACATGCCTCCATGCGCCTCCGACGAGCGGCGCTCGGCTGGACCGCCCTGGTGCTCGCGGGCTGTTGGCGCTTCTGCGGCTTCGCAGCGGCGCCCAAGCTGCCGAAAAGTAGCCATCGGCCAAAGCAGGAGCTGGGGCAGAGCCCTTTGGAAGCAAGTTGGAGATGTGGGACCAAGATGACGGTTGTCAATCAACAGTTTTGGAGGGGACGAGTTTTAGTTGGTTTTGTAGTTGGAGGGTTGCTTGGCGGGCCGGTTTTTGATTGGTTAGTAGGGGGTTGGTTGCATTGGTGCAAGGCTTCCCTTTTTCTGACTTGCTGAGGGGTCACTGGTGATTGGAATGAAGAAGAAGGCGGCAGGAAAACTGACCACCAGGGGTCCATCCATCCGCTTTGGATTGCACTTTTTCAACCTTTTCCACTTGGTACTTGGGTGACTTTGGTGAATCCTGGTTGCCCTGTGACTTTGCACTGTGACAATAAAGGGGGGGGGGAGGTACCCGTTTTGGGGTCGCCCAGTTTAAATCTGCAAAAGAAGGCAACAACAGGCTGAAAAGAGAAGCTGGAGCCAGTCACGAAAAGAAGCACCCAAGAGCCAACAAACATATTCTATGCAGGTGGTTTTTGAATTCGGTTCCACGGAACGCCCAGCTAAGATTGGATTCCCAGGCTACCTCTCGGACCCCAACACCATCGAGAAGATCTTCCGGAGCTTCCGAAGGCCCGAGTCCCGTGAATCGAGCAATCAAACTGAGTGGATGGCTGAAGCATACATTTCACTCTCAGCTGTCAGGGGAATGCAGTGCACTCAGTATCTACAGAATCCACCGTCCCCAAGCAATTCATCACACGTTTGGAGGACATCCCGATTCAGACAGTAACAATGACTAGGTCCCCCAAGTAGTGCCCTTTCTCACCCCTTTTTTGGTTGGGAGGGTTCCCCTACTAAGATAGACTACAGAAGAAAAAAGTTGGTACCAACTTATTCTAGCCTCTCAAATCTGGAGGAGCTAGATGAATCATGGATTCGCGGGCGTCACTTCCTCGCCCCAAGCGCCGCGCCTCGCCTCGCCAGTGGCGCGGCTTCGAATGCGGTGGTGGAGTTGGGCCCGGGGCTGGGGGCGCTGACGCGGCTGCTGGCGGCGGAGTTTCCGACGATGGTGGCAGTGGAGGTGGATTCAAGGGCGGTGGAGGCTGGGGCTGAAACGGGCTGAAGGGGAGGGAGCGTGGGTGTGGTGGGGGGGGGGGGGCGGGGCTGAAAGCCATGAAAGGGATGGAGGGGGTGCTTTTCCTGTTCAGCCTCTGCAAAAAGACGGGAGTCTGCAAGTAACCCATGAGCGCTGTGAGGTTCATTGGGAGGGAGCGTCCCTCGAATTGGTGATTTGAACTGGTTCGAGGCTTGTGTTGTTTTCCCATTTATTCTCAAGAGCCAGGGCTAATTGATCCAAAACCAAATCCAACTGAAGGTTGCGGGTTCTTTCCAACTGAAGGTTGCGGGTTCTTTCCTCGGTTTAGGCCCATCGATCCTTGAAGCGAAGCCCAACCTCCCCCCTCTCCTCCCCCCCCGGATTTGCCGGGAGAGGCGCTGGCCCGGGATTTGCCGAAGTTGCGGGTGAGGCACCAGGACCTGCTGCAGTTGGATCACCGGGAGATGCGCCAGGCGACTCGACTGGGAGGCGACTGAAGCTGGGCAGTGGGGCAGTGGGCAGTGGCGGGGTGGGGGTGGAGTGGAGGAAAATGCGGGGGTGGATTTACCAGTTGGGCGGTGGGGGGGGGGGGAGGGGGGGTTGGGAGGTCACCCACTTCCAAGAATCAGTGGGAGGATGGGAAGGCGAAGAAGACTGTCCTCTTTCTGTCACCTCTCGTGATTAGGGGCTGCGAGGCTCAGTAGGCCTGAGGCTCAGTACTTTTGGCACGGAGGACATGACCCAAGACTCCCAACAAGGCCATTTCCTTTAGCAAGGGTTGTAGTTTAAGGACTGCACAAACCTTGCACCAAAGAGTTTATGGGTTTCGGTCGAAGCCATAAGTTCTTGGATGGGGGGGGGGGCTGCTGTGCCCAAATATTGCATAAGCACGCTTGGAACGCTGAGAAAATGGCGCGCCTAGGTTGGGCGCTTGTTGTTTTGCAAATTGCCAGATAGCCCCGCCTGATTTTGGGCAAAGCGCCTGGGGCAAACGGAATTTGAGTAGGAGCAATGCTTGATGCATGGTCATGGAGGATGTCTCGTGCAGCGCTTTAGACTGTAGGAGCTACTTCAGAAAAGCGGATTCCGCATATTCATCCGCGAAAAGGGAGATTCTAGTCTATTGTCCTTGATTTGTAATTAAGCTGGTCCTTTTCGCTGCAACCGCTCTTTTGTGAAGAGTTGTGGGCGCGTTTTTCTCCCGTGGATATGATGGCAAGAACCGGGTCGCAGCATACTAGAATTGTTCGAGCAGCAGGGGCCGAGGACAAGGTGTGTTCGCACGCCGAAAGTGGGGCCAACTTTCGACCTACCACTTGAGAGGGGCCTTTCGTGGCAAAACAAAAACGGCGCAGGGCCGGGGATATTTGACGTCATGGTCCTGGCTTGGCTGCGCGGCTTTCCGCGCGCCGAACCGCGAGAATTTCGGCTCAGGAGCTTGGGGACCGCCTCTCCGTGGTGGCGAACCTGCCCTACAGCATCACCACGGAGGTGAGTTGATCGGGAGGGTTTCGAGCGGGGGGGGGGGGCGCTGCAGACTCTGCTTTCGACGTGTGACGGGATCCCTTTTGCTGGGCCTGTGAGAGTTGGATGTGAATCGCGCGGGGTGCTGTTACGGGGTTTCTGGTGTGGGGTTGTCGGTTGCAGGGCGATGTTGCGGGGTGCTGTTGGAGAGTGTGGAGGGGCTGGGGCTGTTTCCGCGTGTTCTGTATTAGCATTCATGGTTGAAGCGCCTGCTGTTCTGACACTAAACATAGTTCTTGCTATTTTGGGTCCATGCTGGTGTATCCCACGCGTTTCCCATACAATTATTGTCGCAACAATTTGGGTCTTTCGGTAGCGCATAGTGCTCTTACGCACGGCACGTTGTTTTGCGTCACTCCCCCTCCTCGCTTTCAATCCTTGTGGTTCACTTGAGGCAGATACGCAAGTTGGACATGCAACACAGGATTCCAATGTCTGATGCCGAGTTCACTTCTGGATTGTTAGACGGGCGTGAGCGGATATGAAAGCATACATACGTGCGCATGCGTGTGTGTGTGTGTGCGCGCGCGCGCGTTGTTTCTGTTGTTTATTTCATGCACAGTGCTGTGCTGTGTTTCAGCTTCCCTCCAATTAGTTTGGATTTGTGGTTTGGTGGTTAGGGGTGGTTTCCCATCTACCCCCTACACGAACCAGGGATGCTTGTTGTGTGATACGGGTGTGTGTGTGTGTGTGGAGGTGTGTGAGTCTCTGCGGGTCTCCATGTTTCTTTGGCCTTTCTGTAGCGTGGCCTGTCACCGACGCAGACGTCACCGACACACCATTCAGGTGAGGGCGACTGCATATCCCGAAAAAAGAATCTTCAGGAAAGCAGTTGTCTACCTCGAAATTTCTCCATGCCCCCCAACAAAAGTGGGGTCATCTACCCAAAAGGCGTCATGGCCCCTTTTTTACAGGGTCGTGGATACACATAGAAAGCCCTTTTTATGACCCCCTTGATTGTTTAAGGTTTTTCTTGGAGATTGCAGGTAGAGGAACATGGTCCAGTTGACGCCTTTCTTTGTGCGCAGGCGCTGCTCTCGTTGGCACGGAACCTCAGACTGAGAGGGCGAGCTCACCGATTCGAAACAGCGGAGATTAGGACCAGGAAGGTCCTCTACTATGGCTATGTTTTTTTGGAACCACCACACAAGTGGTTGGTGCACATGAATCCCCACCTGAATGAGGTCCACCAAAGAGTCCCCTATTAAATTCAACACCTATATAGTTGTTGTAGGCCATGGAATTACAGCGGAACTTGCAGACTTGAGGTAACTCGGGTGAAGAGTTTGTTTGGGTGTGAGGCTATTCCAGGAGTGGTTTTGAGGGGAAACCTCGAGGCTTTGGGGACCCTATTTCAAGACAGATGAGTTGACACCCATGTAAGCAAGTTGACACAAGGCATTTGGACACAGGTTCAATATGCAACTGCGTTGCTTTGGAATCGCAAAGGGAAACACCACTCATTGCCTGATAGCCGAGACTACCGTTGGCAATGCGTTGATTTTCCCCTGACACAATTGAACGGCATCCGTGCAGTGTCATGCCAAGAGCTTGAGAGCGACTGATATCTGGCAACTAGGGTTGCCAAGTTGCACCATATGTGAACATGTCTGGCAAAGCTCCCAAGTAATTGGAAGTCAGGCTCAAGTAGCATGCGATCTTTCAAGGTTCACAGGGTGGTGTGGTGAACTTGTCGACTTTGCGCGTTCAAATTGTGTCCTAACGCATGCCTTCATGTACATCATTGATCGACATTGGATCCCTCCATGCACCTCTAAAAAATCTATCACCAAAAACCCATATTTGGGTAGATGACACAATTTGTTTGAGGGTCATGTAGACTCCAGGCAGGTACGTCATCTGGGTCTCCTTTAGTACCAGGTTTCGATGCTAAAAAAAACCCGTTGGACCTGCAGGCCTGTGACCCAAAGACTGGAGCGACAGCGGGCCCCTGGAATCAATCCGAAGGAGGGAAGCTGAATCTCCGACTAATTTCACTTTCCACTGAAGTTCGCACACTACGCACTCTTGGGGCTGGCCCCTGCTTCCGTGGTTTTTGTTCTGTAATGTGCTCGCTCTCGAACCGGGTTGTGGGATCAAGGAATTTATCCCCACCACTGTGATTCTTTTGGGAATCTCCCCCTTATGGGGGCCGCAGTCTTTCGGAAGCCCCTTGTTGTATCACAGACGCGGATTCCATTTCAACCACAGCGCTGCTCTCGAAAGATTCGAAATGCTTTGAGGTGCGGAGCCCAAGAGCGGTGCGCTATGCCTTGGTCATGGTGCAGAAGGAGGCTGCTGGGTTCGGTTCGAAACGAGCCGAATCTGCGTCACCCAAAAAGCCTTAGACTCGAGTCTACCGTAGGCGCTGGCAGGCCTTGATTGTTGTTTGGTTCTGTTCATGTGTAGTATTGAAGGAATCAGTCTGCCCAAAATTGTAATAAAAGAATCACGTGCAACTATTTGAACCTATGTCTTCTAACATTCCTTTTTCTGCATATTTCACACGGAAGCCAACAAAAAGGAGGGTCTCCTTTTGGGAGGAAACAGGCTGGTAAAAAACCTGGTACTTTTGGTGCTTTTCTTGCTGTTTGCTGTTCTTTTGGGCTATGCTATGTCGAGTTGCAGTTGTGAGCGGGGGAGGGGCGGTGGGTGGGGGAGGGGGGTGGGGGGGATGATGTTACCGCCGTTACCAAAGGCTTGCGCACACACGAACACAAATGCCAGTATGCAAAAAACATGTGGTTTTTGACAATTTATGCATGAAAACGATGCTGTCCTAATTCTCCGGTTCACTGCCAAGCATGAGCCAGAGATGACAAATTGCAGAAAAGCCAGGGGAAAACACGTGTGACGCAGCTTTCGCTTACTCAGCGCGGGCTCCACAATAGCCAGGATTTTTCCATGGCTTTGGTTGTTTCTCTAAATGGAGGACCCTTTTCCGGTTGGTATTGAAAGGCAAACCAAAAAGGCGCCTTTGCTTAGGAAATGGACCGACTCCCAGAGAAGAACCCATGCTACCTTGCTTCAGATCTAGGACTCTTCCGGCCAGTGCTTTTGGAGGCCAACTGCCCTTGGCTGGATTGGTTAATTTGTTAATGTTGAAACGCATGTGGAAACATGAACTGTGTTTGAAATGCTTGACCATAATGGCATGTGCCATTTTGGCTCAAGCTTGCCTGGGTTCCCTGAACCCAATTTGTGTGAAAAAAAATTGAGTTTGGACACTTTCGAACTAACCCCGAACCAGCAATGGCTTCCTCGGCAACCTCGGCCACCTCATTTGAGCTGATTGAGGACCAGACGCTCACCGTGGAGGAGGTTGAACTGGCCAGCCAGGAGGCCCAGGAAATTCGCACACGCGAGGCGGCAGTGGCGGCCGGCCTGGTTTTGGACGAGCCCGAGGCCCCCCCGTCGGCTTCGGCTACCGACGTGATGAAGGACCTCTCCAGTGCGCTGGAGCGTCTCCGTGTGGCGTTTGCCACACCGACTTCCGGCTTGGGTGCCCCTGGCCCCGCCGAGGAGGAGGACAAGGACATGGAAGATGCGGACGTCACGGAGCGGGCCACTCCACCGGAGGAGGCACAGACACCACCCACGAAGAGGCTGAGGGGTTTCGTGGCGGCTTCCCAGAAGACCACGGCTCATGTGAACAAGCCGGTCTCCTTGGTGCCGGTGGAGGGCCGACCCGGTTACTTCAAGCTGGTGGACCTCCCAGACCTCTTCCCGGTCCTTCCGGCATCGGCGGCCACGTTGCTGAGGGACGTCACGGTGGAGGAGGCGGTCTCCCTGTTCCACAAGTTTGTCGGGAAGAATCTCACGGAGGACCTGGTGATTCGTATCCTGGAGGCCTATGTCCCGATGAAGATCCAGATCCGGCAGGAGGAGGTCTGGCCTCGCAGTTCCAGCGGAACAAGGCGTGCATTGGCACCCAGCGAATGCACAGGCTCGATGCAGCACTCCGATTACAAGTTCATGTGCAAGGCATGCGGCACGGGGTGGCCAGAGGCAGCCAAGCAGTGCTGGGTCTGCCCAGGCAAGGAGTTCGTCCCCTTCCAGGCTCCCTCGGCCACCTATGAGGCGGACGGCATCACCTACAACCTGCTCATCGTGGAGGGCAAGCCGACCTGGATCCAGCAGCGGGAAGGGGGAAGCCTGGGTGCCGCTGGCCCGGTGGTACCCGGGCACAGGCAGACCGCAACCTGGTGGATGGCACGGTCCTCCTAAAACGGACACGGCAGAGGAGATCACCATGGCAGACGTGGTCCCGCTCAACAGACGGGTGGACATCCGGCAGGAGATCTCCTGTCCATGGAGGCGGACGACGAGGCGTTGAAGGTCCGGGAACGCCAGGAGATCAAGGTCAAAGTGCAGCGGTCCCTGAAGGAGGCGGAGGCTCAGAGCTTCCAGCTCTACCACCCCCAGGTGGACCAGGCGATCCGGAAGAAGGAGGAGCTGCATAAGGCCTTGAGGGAGCATCGCGAACCGACCCAGGCGGCGGCACAAGGAGTTGGTCACGGAGGAGATGCTGGACAACGAGATGGCTATCCTGGCGCCGCTCCAGGAGGGCATGCAGGCCTTGCCGTCAGAGGTGGCCAATGAGGGAGCCCGTGCCCTCAGGAAGGTCAACCTGGAGCGATTCAAGGCCAAGCTGCGAGACCAGTACCTGGAGGGGAAGGGCGTGGACGCCAGCCAGGCACTGCCTGAGGCGATGGGCTCCATTCAGGAGGCTCAGGCGGCGAACAAGCGCACCCAGGACACTAACCAGGCGTGGATGCTCAACCACACTCTCAAGCCCTTGGAAATGTCGGCGTGGCCGGATGATCTCAGGCAGGCCCTGGAGAGGGGGCTATTCTGCCCCCTGGAGCTGGATGACCCCGAGGACATCCCGAGAGACATCAAGGAGAAGTATGTCCCCTACATCAGGAGGCTCAGAGAGTCGCAGAACCGCTGTTGGAGGAGATGCCCGATCTGGTGGCACCGGCCCCCCCTAAGGGTGCCACTGGCCCTGGGGGGGACCAGCCAACGAACCTGGACTCGGAGGAGGGCAAACTGTCCCTGCTCCTCTGGGCGATGAAGAGGCACCAGGGTGAGCTCCGGATGTTTGGGGGGATCTGGAAGAAGCACACAAGCGGCGAGATCCCCAAGGGCGCTGACCAGCAGTTCAAGCTCACGCCGGAGGAGCTCCTGGCCCTGGAGCGCAGGACTCACCCACTCACGTGCGAGCGGGACCACATCGACCCAGTCATCTACACGGCCTTGGAGATCCGAGCGCGGGCGAGCGCCCGGCGCCGGAGCAGGTGGTGGGGATCTTCTGGGCGAAAGGTGATGGGGTGTTTTGGACCAGGCAGACGAGGACGTGGGACCTGCCGAGCCTGACGGGGGTGTACGCCCACAGGTTCACTTTCAAGTACATCTACTCGGCCTGGACCACTTTCCCGTTGATCGTGAAGACGCAACGCCGGGGCCGCAATGCGGAGGGCTCGACCTCGGACAAGTGGATGGGCAACATCCTCCAGATGAGGAAGGAGGCGGTGCCCTTCCTGGAGAGCCTGGGCATCCCCAAGCCGCGCAGCAAGGCGGAATGGAGCTACATCTTCAAGGAGATGGGGACGTTTTTGGCGGCCAAGAACTTCATCGTCAACTGCCCGTTGCCTGTGATGGAGATCCCAGTGGCCCCCGTCCACGACAGTAAGGAGGCGCTGCGTTTCAGGGCGGTCTGCGACGAGAGGATCACCCTCCCGCTGGCATCGCTGAAGGCCTTCGACTCGGTCTACACCAAGTTGATGGCGGGCCTGAGCAAGTCTTCGATGGTGGAGGTGAAGGTCAACTGGCGCTGCAACGTGGTCCATGACTGGGTCGAGCAGGTCCCGCAGGAAACGGCCGAGGCCTTGTACGACAGGTTGGGTTACTCCCAGGACCTCATCCGGCAGCTGGGTTGCTCCCCCCCCTTGGGTGCCTCTGGCCCCGAAATAGGAGCGGCCAAGGAGGCGGACCCCAAGGCCAAGGTTCTGGGGGGGGCAGACACCACGCTCCGCACACCAGACCAGGGCACCAGGCGATACCCGCCCATCACCACGGCCACGGTCACGGTCGCGGGCCGGAAGTACATCAACAAGCACTTCCCCAAGGAGACGAAGCATGTGTTTTGGGCCTCCGTGGAGTGTGGCTTGGTCTTGCCCAGCATCAGCGCCTGGGAAGTGGTGGGCAAGGAGAAGTTCAAGACCACCGGGGGCTACATGTGCAGATTTTGCAAGGGCTTCTGGAGGGCGAGCCGCGGGGGGACTAGGCTGCTCCAGATCACGGGGTGGCACAAAGACAAGGCCACATGCTTGCAGCTGGTGATGGACGAGCCCCCGGAGCAGCTCTATAATCAGTGGGTCCGTGACAGGACAAGAGGGTGGAGCCGAGCGGCTAGTCCTGGGCGACGCGAGCGCCCCCCGCATGCGTTTCAGCTCCTCGAATGGCCTGGGGGATGTCTCCACTGCCTTGTGGTCGGTCATTTTGAGCAACCCGGAGAAGTCGGGGCTGGCGGCCATCCACGCGGTGGCAAAGGAGGCGATCTTGAAGGGTGAGAGCCGCTAGGTCGTGTCTCACAGCCCTTTTGGAGGTGGAGTCGTGTGATCTCTTCCCGCCGGGACTTGGGTGCCTTTGGCCCCGTCTCGGGTGGGGGGAGGAGTAAGGGTGTCTCCTTTTGGGTTCATCTTTCACCATTGTTTCCCCCCTGTTCAACACGTCACGACAGCCGGATTGCCGCGATCTGGAGGCCACATGCACCATATCAGCCACGGTTTGGAAAAAGTGGCTGCGGCTGACTCTTGGTTTCCTTGAGGTCCCCTTGGGGTTTTTGGGGAATCCCCCGCCTGGTTGGTCTCCCCCCTCCGTGCTTTTGGGGATTTCCGGGGGTTGACTTTTGGTCCTGTCGGGCTGCGTGTGGCCTGCCTGCTCCATCTGCACTCGGCATTCTGCGCGTTTGGAGCATGCATGCATTGTGCCGCGGTTGGGTCCCGGCCGTTCGATAGGAGGCTCGAACCCCCCTTTTCCTCATGGCTAGGGTTTCTACCAAGTTTCTTTTGCGCCCGCCTTACACACGTCTTTGGGACCGCATTCCAAGGGTCCTATGGGACACATTGGCGGATGAGTCCTTCTCCCCGAGACAGACGGACGGGGAGCTGTTGGTCCTGATGTGCCTGCGCCATGGCACGGAGGAGGAGGGGAGGAAGCTGGGCGGGGAGCCGGCAGTCCGGGCATTCCGGTAGGGCAAGACGACCAAGTGGTCCCGACGGACTACTTC